TCAGAATCTGCATTTTTAACAAGATCTCCAGGGATTCAGACGCACATTCAAGTGTGAGAAGCCGCTGTTGTTGTAGAAAGGCTTTGGAGTTGGGCAGGATCCGGGTTCAAATATGAACAAGTCTTGGGCCACAATTTTCTCACTTGAAAAAAGGAGGTAATACCACCTTCCTCAAAAGGTTATTGCCAAGGGGCGCCTGAGTGGCTGAGTGGTTAAGCGTCTGTCTTCAGCTCAGGTCGTGATCCCAGGGTCCTGGGATCAAGCCCCGCATCGGGCTCCCTGCTCAGCCGGGAGTCTGCTTCTCCCTCTCTCACTCCCCCTGCTTGTGTTCCCTCTCTAGCTCTCTCTCTGTCAAATAAATAAATAAAATTAAAAAAAAAAAAAAAGGTTATTGCCAAGATTCAGTGAATTAGTGTATAAAAAGAAAGTAGCTTGAAGTCTGGTTTATGTTGGATGATTAATCATTCATTCCTTCATTTATTCAACAAGTTCTTTCTTTTTTTTTTTTTTTTTAAGATTTTATTTATTTGACAGAGTGAGACACAGCGAGAGAGGGAACACAAGCAGGGGGAGTGGGAGAGGAGAAGCAGGCTTTCCACGGAGCAGGGAGCCTGATGCGGGGCTCGATCCCAGGACCCTGGGATCAGGACCTGAGCCAAAGGCAGACACTTAACGACTGAGCCACCCAGGCACCCCTCAACAAGTTATTTCTGACCGCCTGTTATATTCCAAGCCCCCTCCAGGAAAAATGACAATAACAAAAACTCAGGGAAGAAAAACAATCTGTTGGGGATGGGAAGAAAGAAAATCTTCCTCTCTTGCAGTTTGTTTTAATACTACAACATGGACAACACTTATCTTTGTAGGATTTTTAGATCTTTGGGGATCTTTATAGAATTCTCAAAGCTCAGGGGGTTTTCTCCACGATCCTCAGACTTTTAGGTAAGGGTGGGCATACAGGGAGGGAAGAATAAGAGAAAGATGTGGGAATTAAGCACATAGGGAAGGTTTGTTATTGTTATGCCAGTAAGTAAAAAGCATCAGAGCGGTCTTAAAAATTAAGCACAAACTGTTAATTGCACACATTTTCTTTTATTAGTTTCCTTAAAAAAGAAGCAGCAATTCTCACTGGAGGTCCCACTGATAGGAAAGGGAATGTAAGGGGTGTTCTTTTCTGGTCCCCAGGCAGAAAGGGTTTCTCACCCAAGCCAGTAGGTGTTAATCTGCTTAAGCCTGCCTGAGTGGGTCTCTTAGATTGCTGGCACATGGCCATTTAGGGGTTTTGTTTCCCAGACCACAGGAGCCCATTTTTCAAAGAGTTCCACTAGCTTTTTGTTTGATAACGTCTATTTCTAGCAGCATTTACGCCTTCAACAACAATTTCAATGAAACAAAAATTTACTGAACACCTACTATTTGGCAGACACTCTGTTGGGGATACAGAGATGAATAAGGAACGGTTGCTGTGCTCCAGGAGCTCATACAAAAGTAACTTCCACTGCATTCTCTCAGGTGATGGCTATTATCACTATGTCGTCCTACTACTCCCGGGGGGAAAAAAAAGAGAAAATCTTTTGGCTTCCTTGGCTGCCTCCTTTACATACCCACTGACCTCGCAGTGCTCGGCCGAGGTCCCAGGGGCTTGAAGGGTTAATTACTTGCTTGCTGTGGCTGGTTCATTGTTCTCCCATACTTCCCACCCCGCTCCAATTCTATGTCCAATTGTAAAATTTGTTTAATATATTTTAATGTTTTTCTTTTCACGGAGGTAGTGCACATTCATTATAGAAAAATACAGATAAGCAAAGTGAAGAAATATTTTAAAGCCTTCCTCAGTCCCACCGCTTAGAGATAACCTGTTTTAAAAAAAAGGATACTTTTAAAAATTATAACAGCAATATAATTTCATATGAAGTGCAAAATATAGAGGGGGCAATCATGCATAATCCAGTCATCTGGGGCATGATCATTTTGGAATTTCGTCTTTCCAGTCTTCTTGCAGTTACTATAAATGATGCCTAACAGCCTGCTAAAGTCATTATCTCCTTGTATATGATGTACATGTGCAAACCAGGAAGGGGTACTTTTAGCCATACTGGTGAATAAGAACACCTATGATTTTATGGAAAAACACATTTAGAAGTTTGCCATCCTTAGCTAAATTTCTGTTGCTGTTCAAATTTCATCCCTGGTGACAGAATCTGACTGTCTTCCCTGGCATCTGAAATGGGACACAGAGAAATCTCTACTTTAAGAAAGTCCGATACAAGAATACCTGAATTCATAGTGAAGAGCATGTGAATATCATCAAGAGCCTCCCACGTGCCAAGCTTATGTCAATTAATGCTCACAACAGTTCTGCAAGATAGATATTATCATGCCTGTTTTATAGATGATGAAAGAAAGTATAAGGGGCTTGCCCAAGATCTTCCAGCCAGTACACAGCAGGACTAGGACCCAGAGTGGAGAGGCAGTCTGGTAGAGAGAATGGAAGACCTATGGCAGACTGGGGTTCGGAACCCCACTGGTCCCACCCACGGGGACCTCGGTCAAGTTAACATTCTGAGTTTCCCTGAACTGGACTTGATTGTGCCGCCACCACCTTGAAGGGCGGACCTAAGGAACGGTCCTGAGAATCAAGCCTGGAGTCCATTTTAAGGGTGTTGTGGGGGACACTTGAGCAGTTCCCAGTTGCCTTTTATGGGGGCATCTGAAAGAAATTCCTGTTTGATCTTAATTCCAAGGACAGTTGACTCCTGACCAGTTTGTTTACTATCTTATGGCTACTGACTTGTCAGGTTTCCCAGTGGCATTGTTTCCTGGAAAATTTCTGAGCCCAAGTTAGGGCCCACCTCTAAGAAGAGTCAGAGTAAGCATGGTTAGCCTCATTCCTGGTTGCACGTTTTGCTCCAGTTTTAATTTCTTTGTTCACTCCCACATTCACATTATTTTCTTGAATCTTCTGTATTCCTGTCCACTCCCTAACATTCTTTCAGATTTAACCTTTGTTTCCTCATCTGTGAAGTGGGGATAATGTTTATTTTAAGGGTATCTGTAAAGCACTTAGCACAGTGCCTGGCCTATATTAGATGCTCAAAAAATGGTTTCTCCTTCATGCTCTTGGAATGAAACTGTCCCTTCATTGAAAAAGGGCGTTATTTGCATTCCAAAAGATTCTCCAGTTTACAGTAGAGTTCAATACAGAGTTCTTTTAATAATAAACAAATGTGTTCAGAGTAGGATTCCATTTTCACATGCCTTCCAGAGTATCCCGCACAGAACCTGTCGTGTAATTGGCACAGTGCTGGTCCACCAGCTCAGTCTTTCACCTGCTCCACGTCAGTGCAGCTACTCACGGGCTATTTGCAAAGTCTTTGGGATGGAACGGACTGCATTTTTTAATGAAAACCATTCTTTCAGCTTCCCCCAGGAATGTTAAGATAGAAAAGATCTGCTGCAGAAAACACAGAACTAAAGCACCAAGTTTTACTTCCCCTTAAAAATGGCCTCTCATAACCAGTTCTTCTTCCCCTGTGCCTGCAAGGGGGTGTTAGATCCTAGTCCCTCCACTTCCTAAAATGGGTTTAATAATTTCCACTAGATCAACATTCTAAAAATTTTTTAAAGATTTTATTTATTTATTTGACAGAGAGAGAGAGACAACGAGAGAGGGAACACAAGCAGGGGGAGTGGGAGAGGGAGAAGCAGGCTTCCCGCTGAGCAGGGAGCCCGATGTGGGGCTCGATCCCAGGACCCTGGGACCATGACCTGAGCTGAAGACAGGCGCTTAACGACTGAGCCACCCAGGCGCCCAACGTTCTAAAATTTATCAGAAATCGATGCATGTATAACTTAGTGGTTTCTTAAATTACCATTTTTATAGTCTAACCATCTCATAAAATTCTTAAGCATCTTGAGGGGTTTAAATATGGTCTGTTTCCCTTCCCAATCCCTAGCAATTTCAAGGTATCCAATTAAAAAGTAAATTAATGGAATTAGTAATATGCATGGAATAGGTCACCGTTAAGGTCGCTGTCTAATAATCTTCAAAAAGACCTGGGCAGGTAGAGCCCAATAATCTACTTAGGGCTGCTTTAAGCAGTTTGTTGGCTCCCTGACACCTGTTCAGTTGAATGCTGGGAAGTTACTTGGCCGTGCCTCTCCAAGCTTTTTTTTTTTCCTTTTTTTTCAAGATTTTATTTATTTACTTGACAGAGAGAGAGACACAGCAAGAGAGGGAACGCAAGCAGGGGGAGCGGGAGAGGGAGAAGCAGGCTTCCCGTGGAGCAGGGAGACCAATGAGGGGCTCAATCACAGGACCCTGGGACCATGACCTGAGCCGAAGGCAGACGCTTAATGACTGAGCCACCCAGGTGCCCCACTTCCAAGCTTTCTTTTGTCCTCTCTCCTTCCCTCCCTCTTTCCTTTCCCTTTTCTTCCTTTTAAAATTTTTTATTGAAAAATTTTGGGCCACCAGGCTCTGTACCAAGCACCAGGGATCCAGTAGTGGGTAAAATAGACAAGGCCCCTACCTCATGGAGCTTCTAGTCTCGGGGGGGATAAGCATTAAGTAAATCACATTCATGAATGGGTGTAAGATGACAAATTGTCGTAAGCACCACGCAGGACTGTAGTGCAGTAGGGGAGCTGACTCAGTCTGGGGTTAGGAGACAGCTTCTCTCTTTTGAGATATGAGGAATGAGTGGGTACTAAGGGAAGAATACGGTTTCAGGCAGCAGAAAGAGCACGTGCAAAGGCCCTGTGGTGCTGGGAATTGTGGTTCTCTGGGGAACAATGAAAGAAAGCTATTGTGGCTGGATCAGAGAGAACAAAGGCAGGGAGTAGGGGATGTTTATCATGAGGTCAGCCAGGACAGAGACACCTGCTTTGTAAAGATTTTGACTGCCAGCTTAAAGAGCATGGGAAGCCACTAAGGTGTTCTAAGAATGGGACCTGCTTCCATGTGTGAGTGACTTATGCATCTTAATTTGTCTCTGCAGGAGCAATGCAGTCATACACGTGGTCTCTGACCTATACGGTGACAACGGCGGCGGGTTCCCCGGCTGAAAACTCCCAACAGCTGCCCTGTATGAGGAGTACTCATGTGCCTCCTTCCTCCGTCACACACAGGATACCGGTTTATCCGCACAGAGAGGAGCACGGGTAGGTGACTTGGCTGGGATGCCGCTTGTACTTTTAAATTTGGGCTCACTTAGCAGCTGTTTTCTCCAAGGGTAGGAAGAGTGCTGTCCTTTGCAGAACTTCCGTAGCGTGCTCAGTGCTGCCCTGTGTATGATGGTCTCTTGTAGTCCCCACAGGGCCCTGGAGGTGGGCATTAGCGGGCCCATTTCCCAGATGAGGAAACTGAGACAACGGCTCAAGTTCAGTCCTGCGGGGTCATACATCTGGTAGACGCAGGGCCCAGACTGATCATCTGGCTGACCCCAAAGCCTGTGTTCCTCCCTGTCTTCTGCTTTAGAACCTCAGCGGAAGACCCCCTTCCAGCAGTTTCCCCAGGCGGTAGAACCTCGTGGTGGGCCCCGGGCTTCTGTGACTGGATTAGAGGAAGTCTTCCCCACCTGAGGGCTGAAGGTCCCTGGACAGCAACAGTTGTTAACGGGGCTCAGGGAACCCATGTGGGTTCCAATGGTGCTTTGTGCCTAAAGAAATAAATCATTGGTATTGCCCATTTTCCCCCAAATCTCTGTAGTGTTGTTGCTGTGATGAATTAACTACAAATCCATTAAGAAGTGTTACCTGAATCAGAGTAGCTTCTTGCCATCATGCAAGATGTCTTCATCAAAAGACACTAATCTTATGTCTAACATGCAGTCATCCGAAAAGCACTTACGACGTCAAAAAGGGTCCTTATTCTCAAGAAGGCGAGACTGTGCCACGGGGGTCCTGGGAGGCGGTTCCAGCAGAGCAGCTGTGGGGGACCCGGGAGGAGGCGCCCGCAGGTGTCTTCCACACAGTGGCCCGGCATAAGGCAGCAAGGGGCCAACCCCGAGGCTGGGCGCTGGCCTGGCTGCTGGCTTGTACTCAAGTTCCGTCCCCAGGGTCAGGTGCCCCTGGCCAGTGGGAGGGCAGCCTTTATTTTCTCTGGGGACCTCTTAGAGTATCTTTCCACACCTTTAGAACAGACTTTGAAAATTGTTTCAGGAAAACTTTTGATTCTGGAGCAATGGCAGAATAGACACCCACGTGGTCTTATGTCCGTGTTTTTGCTGAGAAGATGTTATTAAGAAGAACAGTGATAAGAATATCCTGTATTTCATAGGACTTTCTATTTTATAGAGTGTCTTCACATATCTGACCCTCAGAATAACCAGGGCCAGCGTTTTTACAGATGTGAGAAACAAGGCTGCGAGTCGCGCAAGGGTCCCACAGCTAGAAAGGGGTGGAGCCAGGCTAAGCACCCGGATCTCTGACACCTGGTTGAGTGGCCCATGGTGTTTCCCCGCCGGAGAGAGCTCGCAACTACATACAACATCCTGCCCCATCATGGGCAAGCAAAGGCCTGAACGATACAAAACATAAATCCCAAAGTAATTTCTTCTTTCTTTCCTATTTGACTTCAGGCTATAATATGGGGCTTTTCAACAGAACGGGAGTAGAAGTTTCTGTCACTAATTATGTTTTGCTCGGGGCTGGCTTTCATTCCCTGAGCGCTCTCTGAGTGGTAAGAGAGGTGTGCCGAGGAGAGAAGGAGAATCAGCCTGGGAGTTTAAACTCACCACAACAGGGTGGATATGGTAAGAACCAAAAAGAAGGAGAAAAATGGAAAAAAAGATGAGGTTGATTTTAGAGGTGTTAAGTGATCCGCTGTCCCTGCCCTGACTCACAATATTCACTGTGCTTCCGGCGTCTTAGATACACGGGAAGCTACAACTACGGGAGCTACGGCAGCCAGCATCCTCCCCCGGTGCAGAGCCAGTATCCGGCCCTCCCCCACGACACAGCCATCTCGGGCCCGCTGCACTACTCCCCATATCACCGGAGCTCCGCACAGGTGAGTCGGTGGTCCTGCTTGCCAGCCCAGGCCTCAGGATGCCTGGTGGCAGGTCTAGTCAATTTAACACAGTTAATCGGTACCTTCTGTGTACCACGTGTGTCTGTCACCAAGGAGAGGAGGATCCTTTCCTCAGGGTCACTTCCACCCTTCGGTGGCTGCCCACCAAAGTGGGTGCTCGGCCAGTGTTCACGCTCCACTCCCTCTCACGCACGTGGGTGCACGCCAGTTGTCTTTGGTTGCAAACTCTCTAATCCCTGGACCCAGTCAGCCGCCATGTGTCCTGCCCTTTCTCGGGCAGCCGCCCCCACACGGGATCTCTGGTCGGCCATCTTCCCAGTGCCGGTCCTCATCGAGTCCGGTCAGGACTGTTACCTGGCATCACTTGAACTGGTCTCTGGGTCTCACATCTGTTCCTTTCCAGTCCGATCCACACACACAACCTCACCAGAAGAATCCTCCTGAAATGGACCCTCTACCAGATCGTTCTCAAGCCACACACTTCCTTTGGCTCTTCACTTGTCTAACAAACCAAATCAACCCTCGGTGGCCTATGGCGAATGGAACTTGTGGTCGTACCTATAATGCAAGCGTTGGGCCCTCTGCTTGTCTCACACACTTCCTGTTGCTCTGGTCTCAAAGGCAGCTAGGCACTGGTTCTGTTCCATTCTGCATCCTCGGTGTCTCTGCACCCCCCACTGTCCTTGCCTCAGCTCAGGGCTAAGCTAGACGGTGACAGAATCCTCCCATAGGTCTCTGTGTCACGGAACTTGCCCCTTGCTGGTCTATCCTCTACCCTGCAGCTGGAGGAGTCTTTTGGAAAAAACCCAACGGGCCATTAACACTCTCCCTCTTTTCATGTCATTGCATTCAGAGTCAAGTTCAGTTCCTTGGCATGTCTCTTACCACTTGTTACCACGGGGCTTCTGCCTGCCTCTGTGGCCGACCAGCCACCCCACTCCATTTGCTCCAGCTAGGCCAACCCCTGTGCGGTTCACAGATACTGCTCTCCCAGCCTGGGGCCTTCTTTCCCCAGCCTTCTGCATGTTGTTCAGGACCCGCGCCTCACTGTCTATGCGGTACTTCCTGCCCCCAGCTCTTCCTTCCTCCGGGACCTTATGAGGTCCCGCTGCTCTAGACTCACATAACGCCTCTGTCAGTGACCCTCCTCACACGCCGTTATCATCACTGACTTCTTGGACTCCTACAGGAGACCCCAGAGCTCCCTGAAGGCCAAAAATCAAGTCTAGTATCCCTGGGTCACGGGCCAGGGCACCGTGCTGAGCACTGCACACGTCTTCACGGTAATCCTTGCAGAAAAGAAGGGAGAGTAACCTGCCTGAGGATTTGAACCCAGGCAGTGTGACCCCCGGGTGTCCACGCTCCTACGCATGGCCCTCTGCCACCTCTCCTAAGTCGGCGTTCGCTAAGAGTTTCTGGAACCAGTGAGACAGGAAGTGAGGCAACACAAGCAATAGGAGTGCGGACGACCCTCACTCCATCCTGCTGGTGGGGCTGGGAGCCAGGGAGGCAGCATGGGAGCTCCGCCTGAGGGGGGGTTACTCAGGATAAACTGGAAAGGGGCGCAGTACAGGCAGGGAGCTCTGCTGCAGAGCGCTTGCGGGAGTCTAGGATAGAGATGGCAGGACCGAGCGAGGGCGGAGGCCGGGATTGCATCAGCTGCCGGCCCGCAGACAGGAGAGTGTATCCACAATACCCGGGCACTCGGGGGGGCAAACGGGCCTCTGTTTTGATTTCCATCGGCAGTACCAAGGGGAGCCCTGGTGTAATCCCCAAACAGGCCAACAAGCTGACTCCACTAAACCATCACCTGGGGCATTCATTATAGGTCTCCCACTGCGTCACGCAGAGAAGCCAGCTCCTGGGGTACTGCTTCCCTCAGGAGCGGACTCTGTGCCCCTCATGGCGATCCGCAGAATGCCTCAGAGCTGCGGCCGGAGCCTGGCTCACACTGAACCGTAGCCTAAGCAGCTCCTGCATGCACTTACTCATTCATTCATTCAGGCCTCAGATGACTGCGGACTGTGGCGTGCTTGCTGTGTGTGTGGCAAGCAGGCTGCAGCCCCGATCATACAGTGAAGGGGACGGAATTGCGCCTGCCCTCGGAGAGCTCAGGCTCCAGTAGGAGACGGGCACCCAAGCAGCAGTGGCCAGATCAAGCTAAAGCCCCAACCACAGCACCCGGCAAACGTGTTCCCTCTTTCTTTCCTCCCTCGTCCCTCCTCATGAAATTTCTGGGGTGATATTTTTAAAGCCATGGCCGTAAAAAGAAACCAGGGTCTCCTGAAGGCCCATGTGGTCCCTGGTGATCAAAGATAGGTCTGCAGCCTCCGCTCTGGAAGCCACAAAAGTCCCCAAGTGGAGCACTATCATTTAATAGCAGCTCTTAATCAAAGGGCCAAGGACTAATTGAAAGCCCACGGAGGAGCCCTTTGAACCCAGTCGAGGCATGAGAGGTGACAGGACAGGGCAGCCTCTTCAGCACCATGCCCTGTGGCCCTTTGACAAGGTCTTTTGACAACCTCTGACCCCCACCACACACTCCCACTCTGTGCTTGAAGGGTTATGCCTTAGCCTCCATTTGTAAAGTGGGGTGAGAAGTTAATTATATCACCTCTCTAGCCCAGTTGTAGGGGGTGGGGGCGTCAGTGCAACACAAAGAATCCTTTGTTTTGTTTTTCATTAACATTTATGCATCAAGCTCTGTATTCGGCATTTGCAAATACACAGACTCACTTAATTCTCATAGCAACCTGGGGAAGAAGGCATTTTTCTCCGGTTTTTAAAGATGAGGAGACAGCCTCATAAGGTAATTTGCCCCAGCTTATGCATCCAGTAAGTAGCAAGGCAGACTCAAATGCAAATTCTCCAGCTCTGAACCCCAAGCCCAGGGCCATGAACGCTACACCCAATGTGTCTTTGGAGGGTAGATGCAAATTCAAGAAGTTACTGCAACTATTCTCAGTCAGTTTCAGGTGACCAAAGAGAAGAATCACATACCCTAGACTCCCTCTTTCTTTCCTCGCGTGGTACTTTGGTTTAACATGGAGCATAGATGGGAAAATCCACTGCAGGGCTGATTAGTTTTAGCTTTCCAGAGCAGAGGTCAAGCTGTTCCAGTCCTGAGTACTGAATATCACACTTCATTAGATCAGACTCACTGGGGGAAAAGATCAGTCTGAATTGGAGAAAAACCACAATTCTAGAACACCATTAAGGAATGTAATTGGTCATTAGCCACAAGAGTGACTGAAACGAACTTCTACAAGAAATGCCTGTCTTCAAGACTGCTACGGTGCCTCCGTGAGGTTCGGCGATCGCCTGCATCCCAGCAAGTAAACGCTCAAAATCATACGGACTCATTTGGTTTTTGAACTAGAGAATGTGTGCCCTTATCTATATTAGTTATTTGTATGACACGTGCTTTCCTCTTGGGTAGTAACAAAGGTAAACCTCCAGTCCTGCTTGAATTCTCATAATCCTGAATTAGGGAGTCCAGATGAAGGAGGTTTCACACTGTAAGGTTTGAATTATTTCAGAAAAACACCCTTCTTGCAACGATGCTACACTTGTTCACGTCCAACTGAGTGAACAAGGGATGGTCTCCGCTGCCTCTTCCCAGGTGCCCCATTCTCATGCCTGACCAAATAGGGAAAACAAACCAGACCAAATTTGTGTGGCTACAAAATATTTCTGAGCCTCATTCAACACACATTTGTGGAACTTCTACCCTGTTAGCAGCCGTGAATGTGCACCGGGCCCTGGAGCTCAAAAGCCATTTGATCAACTAGAAGCTGTAGGGCTAGACATTCATCTAGAGTAGACTAGAAAGCTATTCGTTATTCGTCATCTGTATGGCCAAGGCCCAGCCTTGCCAGCCAATCACACAACTCTCACAGAATCGCTAGTGGCCAGGCCCTGCCCGGCTCAGGGCCAATCTGCTTAGGGTGTTCCACTTTGGGAGAGCATCCTGAGCCAAAAGGGAGGAAAATCAATTAACCATAGTGGTATAAGATCGGTGACTATAGAGCCAGGCTTCCTGGGTTCAAATCCCAGCTCTGCCTCTAATCAGCTCTGTGCCTCAATTTCCTTATCTGAAAAATGGGGAGAATTATAGTACAAATTTCTTAGGGTTGTGAGGGTTAAGTGAGGTGATACAGGTTGGAACAGGGCCTGGCTCATGGTTAACACTATGTATATTTTTATCTTTTGTAACACCATAGTTACTACATTTTGCATAATTAAAGAACATAACATTTCTCTCGCTATACCAGCTCTATGGAGACAGGGACCAGATCTTTTCTTCTTGACCATTATATCCTCAGGACCCGGAATAGATGTGGCTTTTAGTGGGTACTCAGTTAAATCCTTGTCAGTGAAATGGACGAATGGCTCCTCACTCTGGTACTAAGTTGCTCTGTGACCTTAGGCAGATCGTTTCCCCTCTCTCGACCTCAATTCCCTCATCTGTGAAGTGGGAGGTAGGACCAGATGGTCAATCACTAAGGCTCTTCCTATCATTAACAGACCATGATCCTATGATGCGAAGAAGAATATTAGTAATAGCTAACACATTTTGAAAACTTACTATGTGGGAGTTCTGAGTGTTTCATGTGTATTAATCCAGACCCTAAAAGCTCAGCGGATGTGGCTTGATCCAGCAAAGATTTTGGGGGAGCTACATCCTCTTCCAGAAGAGGCCCCCTAGGCCCACTGGCAGAACTTTGGTGCGGTGTAAGAGCCGCCTTTCATAGGAAAACAGTTTGTGCTCCTGACTGGGCCACCTTTCACCCCTTGCTCAAGGAGCAGCCCATTTGCTGAGGGTCAGGGATAAAGGGCTCATTCTTCCCTCTTCATGTGCAGGAGAGTCAGCCTTGGGGTGGGGAGTTGTTTCTCAAAATAGAAATAGAACTTCCTAATACGATTCCAAAGAGGCCCCGAATCAATCACAGCCGAGATGGGCATCTGACAGACACTTTGACTACTTATGCACGCGCACACGCACGCGTATGTGCCCACAAGCACCCCTCACACACCTCTCTCAAAGGGCGGGGACTGGTAGCTAATCTCCAGTTCAACATCAGTAGCCACAGCGTGTGATTTAACCCAGCAAATGGTAACTTCCTGTTGTGGGCCCTCAACAAAAAGCGCCTTTATTCTGGGCAGAGCTCTCTGGACCCCAGGGTTTGTGCCCAGCATGCTTCAGGACCCCGCACGAAGCCGGATGTAAAGTGTGAAAGGTGAGGCGGGTGCCACGGGCCGGCCTCAGCCGCTCCCACCAGACTAAATAGAAGCTTCATTGGTGGCGTTAATCACCAGGCTGAGGCAGCAGGCACTTCAGCCTCTCATCTTTCAATGGTCTCTTCACCACGGGGAAAACGAGTCACTGACTCATTTGCAATTAGCTGACCTAACGGGACAGATTTTTCCATGCTGAATTCTGTGGTAACAGGATTTTATTGTCCCATTAGAGATATTTTGAGCCAGTCTCATTTCCAGGCAATTACGCTTTTGAGTCTGTGACACAACCCCTGGGCACAGCTGCATCTAGGGTCCTTGATTAGGCACAAAAGCCACACTCTCTGGGGTTCTGTGGGAAAGAGGCTCCAAGTCCTTACTGCGACATTTTACCTACACGGGCCAAGCCAAGGGAGGTTCCGTCAGAACCAGCAAGAAGAGGCCTGGTCAGAGCTATAAGACCCTGTGGTGTGTAGGGGAGGAGGAGCCTTAAAGCAAGAGGGACGGAGACATTAAAGTGTAATGGGGTGGGTTCCAAAACAGGCATGTCTTCCTCTCTCATGTGATGCAGTCTGGCAGCTTAGGCCTGGTTTGTGCCCCAGTGATGTGGGGAGAAGTGCCACCCCAGCACTGGGTGTCTGTGCCAGCCCTGGTAGCCTGCAGCGTGACTGTGGGCAGGATGCTTCACCTCATGGGTCCTCGTGTTCTCATGTGCATGATACATGGGGCTGGGTTATATGACCCCTAAGCTTCTTTCTAGTGGCAACACCCCGGTGTTCAGTCGCCGGATAGTTGCTGAGGTGCCAGGCATGTTCCCAGATGTTGGGAATGTGGTAGTGAACGTGGCAAAGCCCTGCCAGGAGTTTATGAATAGAAGCCAGTGGAAAGAGACAGCTAACAAGCAGGATGGTAAGCGCCTGACCTGAGAGGCAGAGGGTGGAGCATTTAGCTTCTTGAGATAGGATGTCCAGAAAGGTCTCTGAGGAGGGGACATATGAGCTGAGATCTGAAGGCGGATAAAAAGGCAGGCGTGCAAAGAGCTTGGGGGTAGGGGTGGGAAACTAGTGTTCTAGGCAGAGGGAACAGGTAGGGCCAAACTCCCTGAGAGGGGAACCAGCGTGGCATGCCACAGGATGGGAGAGGAGGCCTCTGGGCCAGGGAGAGCACCGTGAGGCTAGCTGACATGCACGCAGGGAGCTTACTTGAGAGAATATCAGGAGGGGGAAGCAATCTTTTGGAAAAAATTAAAGACTGCTTTGTAATAATATTTCTTAACATTACTGTTTGATACCTGGGATCTTGTTTTCTTGGGCAGGGCCAATCCTACTATGATCTCAGGCCTGAGGGTCCCCCATGGCGGCCATACACACAGCATCCTGTAGACTCCCTTACTGGGTACATGGATGTACTCAAGCGTTTCTGATCTGATCTGGGGATATGAAACCCTTGCTTTGCGGTCCACAGTCACCTTGGTAACAGCCCTGGGTGCCTTCTCCCCTGAGTTCCCAGACACCACCTGCACACTTCTCGCTCTTTCCGACCTGTTCTTGGGCTGGGAAGTGGCTGCAGTTTCTAGGTAAGGCCTGCTGGGCATGTAAGAGAAACCCATCCTACCCGAAGTTGGAGCCCTCTCTCTCGACCTCTGAGTAACCGTTTCTCTCTGCGTGCTTTGGGCCCAGCAGCCTGCCCCGCTTCCCTCGGGCTCCCACTCGAAGCATCAGAACGGTTCCCTTTGGCCCCTCGACCACGGGGAGCAGCCACTGCTGCCAGAATCCCTTCTCGCGGCTGTCTAGGCTTCAGCCTGTCTGTCTCCCTCACAGGAGGCAGCCTCCCACCCAATCCCTCGGGGCTCCACTCTCCAACTGTCAGCGAAGACAGATGGGGAGCAGAAGAATTCATACGTGCTCTCTCTGCCCTCCTCGCCGCCCTTGCCATCCTTGTTAACTGGCTCCCATGTCCGTGCTGGGTGGCCCTGACCTAGCCCAGTGAGGAAGTCTGTGTGTGGACGGGCCTGCAAACTAGGAGCTCTCACCTTCCTCCCCTCTGACTGCACTAAAAGGGGCTTATTTGCATAGCTGTCTTGGAAACAGAAAAGAATGCTGGAGAAGCAGCACTGCAGAGGCACTTCTTTTATTCCCGATTCTTTCTAGAACGGCTTCCCCCTCTTCTGTCCTCCACAAAAGCACCCTTCCCGTCCCCTCTCCATTGGCTTATCTCGACTCCTTCCTCCACATTCACACCAACCCCGACAATTCACCGTTTCCTCCTTGTGCATCTTTCAGGACTTCAGTGAATGTGAACCAAAAAGAGAGATGTTCTCTAAGTGATAGGCACTAATAATAACCTTTGAAGCTGTTGGCTTGCTTCCTCTTCAAAAGCCTGCTTTTAGGCTGCAGTTCATAATTGAATTCAACTGTAAAATGCTATTTTTAATAATGTCACTGTGTTTTACTTGGTAGTATTGTTCTCTTGGGTTGATGGAATGGGACATATCCCATCTCCGTAACTAATGGTAAAATTCACCACCATACATCCATACGTCCTAATCTGTTTGGACATGCTGTTACTTGTACACACACACACACACACACACACACACACACACTCACTCTCCTGTATTCCCAGTGGGGCTGTTCCTTCTTTTGGATTTGACTTCCCCAGATATTCCAGAGTTCGAGCACAAAATCAGTATTCCTACTTGAATGTACACTAGTCCAACTCTGGATATGAAATCCTTTGCATTTCTCCTGTTGGTTACTTCCTAGACCAAGGTTCAATCTTTCGGAAGTTCACTGATTTCCTTCCTCTCGACTTTCATTAATAGCATCTTAAGAAATTAACTTAAACTGTGAGCGTGACCAATATTGTGTATATGCAACTTGCAAGCTAAGTTTAACCTTGTGGAATTTCTTTCCCCTCAACAAGTACCCTTTCAATAGCCCTACTTCCCGGATGGAACCCTGTTTGATGAGCAGTACTCCCCGACTGCATCCCACCCCCGTCACCCCCCGATGGCCAGAGGTGCCCACAGCCAACACGTGCTACACAAGCCCGTCTGTGCACTCCACGAGGTACGGAAACTCTAGTGACATGTACACACCCCTGACCACGCGCAGGAATTCTGAGTACGAGCACATGCAACACTTTCCTGGCTTTGCTTACATCAACGGAGAGGCCTCCACAGGATGGGCTAAATGACTGCTATTGCAGGAATCCATATTTAATATTAATAATAATTATTAATAATAAACCCAACGACCCACCCCCAGAAGACTGTATCTCTATACATCATAACTCATGGACTATTCCTAGGTGTCCATCTTCCTAATGAGCGTGAGTCTGGGATTCAGTGTGGGATGAATCAACTTTAGTTCAGAAAGAGGACTCACTAAAAGTCCGTGAGACGGGGTTCCTGTAGCCAAGCCAGACTTGACTGTTTCTATCGAGCACTATTCCAGGCAGGCCAATCTGTGCCTTTTCCCTCTGTTCCATGACTTTGCTCTGTGTTGCCAAACACTCCCCGTAAGCTACTTATCTTCCTGTTGACAAAAGCTCATTAGTCTTGATGGATACTAGAGACAGAGTCTGGTTTGTGTTCTTGGATGGGCACATAATTTACCAAGAGCATTCACCTTGCCATCTGTCTGTCATCTTACTGTACAACGAACAGCCCTCAGGTATGTTCTACGCATCCCTTGTTCCTGGTGGTGCCATCACGGCTTCCTGGAGCACCAGGGTGAAATGCTGGTGTCTGGAAAACTCCAGAGTCCCTGTTACTGCACCCATGTCTTTCACAGTACCTGCATTGTCTTGGAACGTAAGCACTGTGTAGAGGGAAGGAAGAGACCTGTTCTGTATGCCTTAAGTTGATTGAGGTTTGTAGGGGACCGGTTCTTCTACATACAAGTATTTGTCCTAAGTTTGCACAATGGCTAGTGTCAGCAAAAGGCAGGAGAGGGGTTTTCAAAATTCTGTGAGAATGTGGATTTATGGTATTGAGTATCACACTCAGCTCTGCTGTATTAACTTTGTGAAACCAGATGGACCAAACGTTAACTTACCAAGCACCAAGTGTGAAAATGACTTTCATGGTTCCTTCGTAAGACCATAATAATTTCCGACACTTTGATAGAAAAAAAAATTCAAAGCTGTGCCTTTGAGCCTCTACTATACTGTGTATGTGTGGAAATAAAAACTGTATTGTACTTTTGGAAAATTTTTTCGTAGGCATTTTTCTGTGAGATTTGTAGCAGTTTGTGAGGTTTGTTAGAGATTAACATAGGTTTTCTTTCTGTATTATAAAATGCACCAGGCAATTATGGTGGACCTATTACCCTATGGGTAAGAAATAAATGGAAATATGACATCGGATGTTTTAGCAGTTGTTCTGTAAATAAAATCTTTGATCACACCACTCAGTGTGATAATCATGTCTACAGCTAAAATGGAAATAGTTTTATCTGTACAGTTGTGCAAGATATGAATGGTTTCACACTCAAATAAAAAGTATTGAAATGACCTCTTTCTCCATTTTCATTTTGCATTTGACAATCTGTGTGTGTGTGTGTGTGTGCTAGAGAGAGAGAGAGAGAGAGATACAGAGAGATAAATGGCACTGTGAATACTTAGGGTATAAGCAGACAAAACAAAATTAGGTGGTCTTATCTGGTTGTACTTACCCACTTCCTCCATCATCTTGTCATCAAACAGTCATTACAATTTGGATACGCCACACATGTGGTCCTTGAATGATTTAGTATCGAGAGCCTAATTGAGTTTTGTAGGGGACCAATTCTACTTACAAGGATATGTCTTAGGTTCGCACGATGGCTAGCGTCAGCAAAGGGCAGGCCTTAGGGGGAATATTATTCTTCAACACCAGCATCAATAAGAGGTCCCCTGGTACTTAGTTCATTATGCTTTAATGATCACTGGGTGTAAAGATATTTTCAAGTGCAGGGCTTTAAATACTAATAAACTTCTGGGATAGAACAGTAACATTACTGAATACTTAATAAGTATCAACAAATTTTTCTCCAGCACTGCATTTTGACTCTAGAGCTGAGGAGTGAGGATATAGCGGCAAAAATGACTATTTTGTCCAAACGTTAAAGAGTAGGATCTATGAGAAATTCAGAGCCACAGATTTCCAGAAATGGCAGCAGTGACTATTTTAACTAAAAGGCAAGAGAATTTGACAACTCAATTTGCATGTTGAAAGATTTATTTTTAAAGCCAAGCTCTTACTTGCCATTACGTAACGTATTTATACCTAAAAATGATTTTAGGATTAAAATGATATATTTTACATAGCATCCCCTTAAAAATATTTCACTATGTTGTTCAACAACAAGAAAGTAGATGTTGGATTTCACTCCCTGAAGGTAAATTAGTTTGATCTCTCAGCCACGATGTATTAGTTGGCCCTGTCTGAGGAAAGCGGGCTAGGGGGAAGAAAAAGAAAATGTCAGATTTAGTGACCGTATAACGGGAACCTGAGAAGAACCAGACCTGTGGCTCTCTTACAATTCAAAGCTAGTGCTCCATAAAGGAAAGGATGTAGCCAGTCTGACGTTGGACTTAGCAACCACGACAACCTGAAGCAATTGCCGGGCAGCGGCAGCACGTAACGAACAACACTCATGTGCAAGTAACAGCCGCAAGGCCGTTAAAGGGACAGAAATCGTCACAACCAACAAGGGCCCGATCCCGGAGAACAGAGCGCGCACCCCAACGACTTTGCAGGCCCGGGAACGCGGGCCTCCCCCGCACGGCAGAGCCCAGGGCTGGGGGTGAGCGCTGCAGGAGGACGGCAGCTTTCCACGAGGGCAAGGGGGCCCTGCGTGCGCTCCACGGAGCGCAAGGTGCCCACTCTTGGGAGCTGAGTGTGCTGCCCGTGTTCCCCGTTGTTCTAGACCTTCCATTTCAGAACTGAGAAGGACGTGATGAGGAAAAGACAGCAGCTGCTGTGAACCTGTGACTCAAAATGCCCCTTGTCTCCCCTCGGGTGGTTTCTCGCCAGTCACCGGAATGAGAACGGGCAAGGGTGGCAGCTGGGAGTAGGGCCAGTCACTTGTCAGAGGAAGAACGGAGGAGTCTTGGCAATAAAGGGACACTCCCCTCCTCAGGACTCTCTCTGGAAAGGACCCCGCCAGCTTGAAACTGGCTGAAGTCATGAACGGCAGCCAGGACGGTTCACCCACGCTGCAGGCCTGTGGCGTCCTCTGCAGCCATCCTGCTGTGTCCCTTTGTCAGGCCTCTCGTACACCCCAGGTCTGGGAAGAAAGGGAATCTGTGGCCCCTCTGAGGCTGCAGCCCAGTCAGAGACCAATCAGAAACGTGCGCCATTGGGTAAGCCCAACCCAAATGGACAAGAACTGAAAGGGAGTCTTGGCTTCACCACCACGTGACCTTGGAGGAGTTCCCCTCCTCACTCGGGACCTCGAGCGGGCACGTTCTAGGACTCTGCCATCTCAGATTATGGCCTGTGGGCTGATGGCGCAGGGCCGGCAGATCTGGGTGAGGAGGGCAGACAGCTGAGGGGAAACAAAGAACGGACTGGCAGCTGGGCCGGGATTCAGAGAGGGAGCAAGAGAGAGGCCGACGGCTCCACCAGCTGGTGCTCAGAAATGGCCTGCGGTTCGTGCCCATGAGCTGGGCCCGTTAACCTGCCCCCCGCCACCGAGCGAGGCGTACCCCCTTCCTCAGAGCCAGCCCCACGCTCTTCCACGACTGTTTCCAGCTCCATCCTTCTCACTAGCTTTAAAGTGACATCAGTCAAAAGGTCTGAAGCGTATCTACCGATGGAAAGAGCAAAAACAAACAGGCTGTTTGTCCCAACGTCTTGTACCTCTTAAAGGCAGAATGGCAAGATTTAAAAAAGAAAAAACAGTAAATGCTGGGGAGGGGATGATATAAAAATTCCCTTTATTGCAGGGAAAAGACTGTGTATGTGTGTGGGGGGGAGGGGGGTTGATCTTGGTCTTCTGAAGCACAGAGCTCAGACTTAGTCAAGAGCCCGAAGTGTGCAAATCGTCGTCACTGGAAGCTTCAGAGAAAAAGCTGGACATCCTCCTTGGCTTCAGAGTGAGGTAGCACTGAGATTAAATCTTGGTCCTGCCAAAGATGTTATGGAAGGGACATGCCTGCTCTAAGTAGGATTGGACTTCGGTGCTTCTCAACTCTGGCTGCCCAGTAGAGTTACCCTGTCAACGTTGTAAAAATACTGATGTATAGGTCCCGCCACAGTAAATAACTGGCCAGGAATGTGGACCGCCCCCCCCCCAGCCCCCAACAACAGCATCAGTAGCTTTCGAGTTCCCCAGGTGATTCTAATATGCAGCCAAGGTTGAGAAACAACCCCCTTCCACCTCGAAGCTCTAAGATCCAGGGACTGCTATTCCCTGAGTTATGCGCCCCAAGTTTCTTTTGGTCAGGGTTCCAGTCTGTCCAGAGTGGAGAAGAGTGCCACTCCCCACAATCTACGCTGCCCGGTTCTCCCCCCCCCCCGCCCCCGCCCCGCAGCTGACAAAGCGCCCCCTAAGGGCACTGTCCTGTTTGCCCCTCAGCCCAGCCCACCTCCCTACCACTGTGCCGCCTGCCCTCCTAACCTGGACTTTCTCTGCTTCAGTTCCTTGGCAGCCTCCCAAGCTGAACCAGCTTGGACACGGCCCCTGTGGTTTCCTCTTCTTCCAAGGAGGTCAGAACCTTTTGTGCTTCGTCAGCCTCCTCCCTGAAGCTCTTCCCCCATCCCTCCCCCTGCACCTCGCCACCGCCCCCAGCCTTCTCACCCCCATATTTTGCTGCTGCTGGTGTAGGTGAGACGGAAGACGTGGGCCCCAAGAGTTGAGCAAGGAGCTGTTGCTAGGAAGGGAGTGTGGGTGAAGAGAGGTGGTGGGCGGGAGAAACAGGGCTCCCCAGTCATAGTCCTCCCTTCGCCATCATAAATGCCTCAAGAGCTAAAACCAGTTGTTTGAGAACGATGATGAGAAATAATGAAGTCTGACCGCGACAGCAGGGGTGAGAGAATCAGCCTCAGGAACAGCTGCAGGGCTGCCACTTGGTATTTAGAAGAGCCTCCTGAGAGGAGGGAAGAGCTGCAGAGAGAAGTTGAGAAGAGTGGATTCTCCGGGAACTGCCAAACTGCGCTCCCACCAGGGCTGGTCTCCCAAGTGTCCTGGCCCGCGCCTCTCAGACCCCATCAATGGCGAGGACTGAAAGGTAGTCAGGCAGAGTGACCGTCTAAATGAGGAGCCCGCCACACGCTCACCTCCCCTCGCTCTCAGCCTCCATTGATGGAGGTTCTAGGACTCTGCCATCTCAGGTCTGGGAGTTGGGTCTGCCTCCATTGATGGAGGTTCCTATTTCTTGGGGTCTGCTCTGTGCCAGGCACATCATCAGATGCCCCGACTCCGTTCCTCACAACCTCCTTGCAATGTCAGTGGCGTGATCATTTCTGTGTACACGTGAGGAGACGGAGACACGGAGCCATGCCCAAAGTCACCCGGTTAGGTGGCAGGGCTGGGATTTGAAGACAGAACTGCCCCACTCCAGAGCTGGTGCTCTTCCTACAACAGCACTCTGCCTTCTTCCTCCTTCCTCCTTTTGTCTCCACTCCACCCCACCCCCAGGCCTCTCTCCTAAGTGCCTTTGGCTGGTGCAGTTCTTAAATCAACCTTGACCATGGTAATAGAACCTACTGGGGATGAAAAAGAGTTTCAGAAGTTCTGGGAAATCCTTGTGTGCGCTAAATGAAGGCAGTCTCTAAGCTGGGCACCAGATCTTTCCCCCAGGCGGCACTGCACTCATTCTGTTAGCAGCACACGGGCCTTCCCTCTGTCATTTCCCAGGGTACGGACGAACTATACATTATCAAGGACAAAGATTTGGTCATTCTATATAGAAACAGGAACAAAAGAAAATCAGTAATAATGTTAAAAAAAAAAAAAACAGGTCACAGGAGGATTTTTATTAGCAGGTTGAAAAAAGACTCTGCAGGGGAGGTGCAATGAGCCAAGTATTCACTAGAATGAAGTCATTTGAAGGGGGGAGGTGGGGGGGGGGAGCTGGCTACCTCTTGCTGTTCAGGTCACTACCCTTTGACAGCAGTGGCCTCTGACCTCAACAACCCTACAATTCTGTTTTGACTGACCCTGAAACCCATGAAATTCAGATGGAGGCACTGCCCCAAAGTTGAGATAAAGCTGACTAATATGGGAAAAGCTCCCGGTATGTGCCCCCAGCTGAAAGGAGCTCAGCTCTTCGGTGGTAGATGCAATTTATTCTGTCCTCCTCCTTTCAGGGAAATGCTAATCCTTCATAGGCGACTGGAGGGGAAGACTAAAATGTGTTGATGATGAATGACAATAATCCTTTGTCCACTCCTGCCTCCTCCTAGGGTTGAACCTTAAGAGTTTAATCAAATGTTGGTAAGTAAATTAATGCTTTACTGCATAAAGAGTTAAAAAGCGAGTAGGGGGAAGAAGGGCTGTGAGAATATATTTCTTCTGATGTGT